GCACGCAGTTTGGGCCCCGACGCGTCGGGGGGCCCCCGAGTGACTGCTTCGCAGGAGGCGAACGGGCCCGACGCACACCAGCCGCTGCAAGACGGGTGGCGGATTTGAGAGTCTGCGTGGCGCGTCGCTTCGCTGGACCCCCCCAGCAGCCCTCAGACGTGGGGACAGCGTTGCAGCTCGCAACCCCCCCAAAGGATGGCGAGGTCTAATCTGGGCCCGCGTAGCGTGTCATGCCGTTGGATCCTGCCCTCGGACGCGGGGACAGTTTTGCATTCCGCAGCTCCCCAGGGATGGCGAGGTCGAACCTGAGTCTGCGCAGCGCGGCACTCCGTTGGACCCCCCCAGCAGCCCTCGAAAGTGGGGACAGTTTTGCAGCTCGCAACCCCCCTCAGGGATGGCGAGGTCTAATCTGGGCCCGCGTAGCGTGTCACTCCGTTCGACCATGCCCTCGAAAGTGGCGATAGTTTTTGCATTTCGCGGCCCCCCAGGGATGGCGAGGTCTACTCTGGGCCCGCGTAGCGTGTCACTCCGTTGGACCCTGCCCTCGAAAGTGGCAACAGTTTTGCAGCTCGCAGCCCCGAAAGGATGGCGAGGTCGAACCTGAGTCTGGGTAGCGCGTCACTCCGCTGGACCCTCCGGGAGCCTTCGAAAGTGGCGACAGTTTCACAGTTCGCGGCCCCCCCAGGGATGGCGAGTTGGGAGGCAGCCTCGCAGGCTGGGAGGGAAGGGCGGAGGAGGGACGAGAGGAGGAGGAGACGCGACCGCAGTGCTCTGGTCAGAACGAGAACCCAGCGCAGGAGAGCTGGGACATCAGCACACACAACAGCACAAAGAGCAGCAACAACAGCATGGCACGGAACAACAACAACAACAACAACAACAACAACAACAACAACAGCAACAACAACAACAACAACAACAACAACAACAACAACAACAGCAACAACAACAACAACAACAACAACAGCAGCAGCAGCAACAACAACAACAGCAAAGCAAAGCAACAAAAGAGGCAGGCCAGAGCACGAGATCCAACACAAGCACAGGCACAAGCAAAAGCACACACACGCAGAACAAACAAAACACACAACAAAACAAAACAAAAAACGGTGCCGCCGCCGCCTTCCTCGCCCCCGGCCCGCCGCCGCCGCCGTGCCCGAGCCATGTTGGCCCGCCCCGCGGCGCTGCGGAGCCCGCTCCGCCCGCGCGCCCCGCCCCGCGGGCCCGGGCCGCGCGCGCCCCGCCGCGCCCCCGCGGCGCGGGCGCCGCCGGCGCACAGCCCGGAGCCTGGAGGGCGAAGGGCCCCAGAGATCCCCAGAGATGATCGCGTCGTTAAAAAACAAAAACATTTAGAGACAACTATATGTGTATATATATATATATATATATATATATATATTTCTATATCTATATATATATACAGAAATATATATATATATATATATGTTAATACTAATAATAATAATAATAATAATAATAATAATAAAAATAACAATAACAATAATAATGATAATAAAATAGCACTGCTAATGCGTTGTATTATTATTGTTATCAGCGTACTAATCAGACTAGTATCATTATTCGTATTAGTAATAAGAATAATAATAATAATGACGATAATAATAGTAGTAATCACCATCATAATAAGGCTAACAATAATAATCATAATGCCAATGAAAATAATAATACTAATAAGAAGAAGAATAATAATAAGAATAGTAATACGAATAATTAACATCACACACACACACACACACACACACAACAACAAAAAAGGCGGGAGGCTGTTGGCCACTTTCGGCCTCGGGGGGCCCTCGCCGGGCCTCGGGACCGTCAAAAAACTATTCGGGAGGAGAAACCGGTCCTGGAGAATGGGTCGATACCTCTGAGGGTCAGCGCTATGAAAAAATCATGACGTCAGGGCGAAGATCCCTATAGATCCGACGCTCCCCAAAAAGTTGGAGCGAGCGGTTTGGGACCGTATGTTCAGCCTCTGTGGGGGCCCTCGCCGGGCCTCGGGGGCGTCCGAACACGACTCGGGACGGAAAGCCGGCCCCAGGGAAGTGCGATTCGGACCTCCATGGGGACCACGCATCGGAAAGACTGGAGCAGCCAGGGATGTCCTGGCCTGCGCCGCCCCGCTGCCTGGAGGCCCTGCAGGCGGCTCCAGTCGTTCCAGCCCCCGGCGCTGTCCCCGGGGCCCTCGCAGATCGATGCGGCTCGGAAGAGGGCGCGCAGAAAGACGGGGTCCCCTGGGGCCCCCGGTCGCGACGTCCCCCGAGGCCTCCGCTTGCTCGGCGCGTCGCATCTCGGGGCCGGGCCACGGAGAAAGCACGGCGGGAGGCCTTTAGGGCGCTTCTCTGCCTCCGGGAGCCCCCTCGCCGGGCCCCGGGGCCGTCAGAGACGGAAACAAGCACCGCGGGAGGTCTTCGGACAATTTTCTGCCGCTGGGAGCCCTCGCCGGGCCCCGTGGGACTATCAAAAACCGACGCGGAAGGAAAAACCCGGTCCCATCCGGTCGAGGCTTCGGGGGAGCGCATCGTCATGAAAAGATCATGACGGGGTCTTGGAATCGATTCTGGGTTTCTTAATAAGCGTGGGGGGGTACCCCCCGACGGGGGTCAACTTCGCCTCGTCGTCGCGCCGCGACGGGGGTCGGAGCGCCTCCGGCACGCGCTGGCTGCCCGCGACGGGGGTCGATGCGTGGCTGTCGGCGGGGGTGACGCCCCCCGACACTTCTTAAGGAACTCGGAGCAGGTTTAAGTCGGGCGCGTCGCTCTACAGGAGGAAGATTCGAAAATATAGTTGTAAAGAAAGTCTGGGGCCGATGTTTGGACTGTGTTGGGCTGGTTTCGAACCTATGTTATGATTATGCGTTATTTCTCGTCCAAAATCTCCTTGTAGGAGGACGCACCCGACCTAAATCTAGGCCTCCCAGACTGGGTCCGAGCAGATGGGAGCGGAGGATCGAGCCGCACCGCCGATGCATCGCCGATGCGGCTCGATGTGGAGCCCGATGTTCTCCACGCCGGCGGCGGCGATGCATGGCCGCCGTCGCCGCTGCATCGCCGATACATCGAAGGAGAACTCGAAGAGGAAAACATCATACAGATGAATTGTCGGCGCTTCGCGCGGATTCCTTGGATCGGCGTTGGGCCCTCCCTTGTGGCGCCTCTGGCGCCGCCCCTGGCAAGCTCCTCGCGCCAGGGAGGGGGCCCTGCCCCGATGCAAGAAATCCGCACTGACCTCGGAAAGTTGATGTTTCTGTTTTTTTTGATTTCGGGAGAATGCGATGGCGCCTGGCAGCGGCAGGGGGCAAGAGGTACCACAAGAGTACGACGACGACGTCGCCGGACGCCCGGCGACGACGAGGAGCAAGAGTGATCTACGACGACTATGGGGAAGAAAACGCGACTACGACGACGACGACGTCGACGACGACGACGTTGACGACGACGACGACGACGACGACGACGACGACGACGACGACGACGACGACGACGACGACGACGGCGGCGGCGGCGACGACGACGACGACGACGACGACTACGACGAGGACAAAGACGACGACGGCGGCGGCGACCGCGACGACGACGGCGACCAAGACGACGACGAAGAAGACGGCGACGGCGACGGCGGCTGCGGTGGCGACCCTGAGATCCAACGTCACGCAAAAATTGCAATACCGCACCAAGCCACAACTGGAACCACTGACCCAATCTTCATGCGGCAGCTGCTCGAGCCGGATTGATCCGAGATGGCCCGGGGACCCGAAGCTGGGCGAGAACACGTTCAGTCGCAGCGTTGGTTGACGCATAGCGCGGTCGGAGAGGCGAATTGTACACAAGCGGGCGGGGGGCAAAAGACGGCGGTCGCGCAGGGAGGATGAGGCAGGCGAAACATGCGGCGTGAGCAAATGCGACGCAGGGAGGGCCACGACGGCGGCGGCGGCGACGACGCTGCTGGCGACTGCGGCGGCCGCGGCGACGACGACAGCGACGACGAAAACGACGGCGGAGGCGACGACGACGGCGGCGGCGACGATCGTGTCAACCATCGTGACAAAAGCACACCAAGAGCCACGGAGCCAATCTCTCCGCGGCACTTCACTCGAGCCAGACCGAGCCGCGCGAGGGCCCCGGGGGCCCGAAGCGCTGGGCGAGAAACATTTTCGGCGTGAAAACTTTGCGACGCCGGGCCCGACTCCGCTCAAGATCCATCGCTCCTCCTCCTTCTCCTCCTCCTCCTCCTCCTCCTCCTCCTCCTCCTCCTCCTCTCCTCCTCCTCCTCCTCCTCCTCCCACCACCCTCCTCCCCCCCCCCTCCTCCTCCTCCTCCTCCTCTTCCTCGTCCTCCTTCTCCTACTCCTCTCCTCCTCCTCCTCCTCCTCCTCCTCCTCCTCCTCCTCCTCCTCCTCCTCCTCCTCCTCCTCCTCCTCCTCCTCCTCCTCCTCCTCCTCCTCCTCCTCCCCCTCATCCTCCTCCTCCTCCTCTCCTCCTCTTCTTTTTCTTTCTCTCCTCCTCCTCCTCCTACCCCCTCCTCCTCCCCCTCCTCCTCCTCCTCCTCCTCCTCCTCCTCCTCCTCCTCCTCCTCCTCCTCCTCCTCCTCCTCCTCCTCCTCCTCCTCCTCCTCCTCCTCCTCCTCCTCCTCCTCCTCCTCCTCCTCCTCCTCCTCCTGTGCGCCTGTCGGGGTCCATCGTGGCCAGTCTCGAGGCGGCTCCCGCCGTGGCGACGAGAGGCCGCCAGCAGGCCCAGGGAGGACGAACAACGCCAGGGCGCCGCCGTGGTCTCGACCTGCTCCTCTCCCGATGCGGCGCCAGGCTCTCGGGAGCCCGGCGGCGGCGGCGGCGGCGACGCTGTTGGCGACGGCAACGGCGGCGGCGACGGCGGCGGCGACGACGGCGGCGGCGGCGGCGGTGGCCGCGGCGGCGATGGCCGCGGCGACGACGGCGGCGGCGACGACAACGACGACGCTGCCATGGTGCGGCGGCGACCTGTCGAGGACCGCCGCCCCGCGGCCGGGGCGCTGGCCGGCCTCGCGCTCCTCGCGGCGCGGCGGGCGGCCGCGTCCGGCGTGCAGCGCCGGGGCGTGGCGACCATGGCCGCGTCGAGGGAGCAGCGCTTCAGGACCCGTCGGGGCTCGAGGGGCGGAGGAGGAGGGAGGGAGGGAGGGAGGGAGGGAGGGGGAGGGAGGGAGGGAGGGAGGGGCACGTGCGACCACGGCGGGATATCATCTTGGGGGCTTGAACGGCCCTCCTCCCTCCTCCTCCTCCTCCTCCTCCTCCTCCTCCTCATCATCCTCCTCCTATTCCTCCTACTCCTCCTCACCCCTCGCCCTCCTCATCATTCCATCACCCTCTTCCTGCCTGGACCTGGGGAATGAAATGGAATCGCGGAGTCTCTGATGCTTCTCCTCCTCCTCCTCCTCCTCCTCGTCTTCCTCGTCCTTGTCCCCCCCCCCTTCTCCTCCCCATCCTCATTCCCCACCCTTCTTATCGTTGTTTTTTCCCTCTGCGGTTTTCGGGATTCCTGGTCGCCAGGTTTTCGGATTCTGGTGGCCCTATAAATTTCTTTGTTCTTAATACATGTATAAAATATCAAAAAATCTACAAAGCTTGACATTAGTTATAATGACATGTAAAGAGAATTCTAAAGTTTAGGGGGGTCCTGGGTTTTCGGGATTCCTGGTCACCTGGTTTTCCGATTTTGAAGACCTTGGACGTGTTTGTTGTTTTTATACTTGAAAGTATGCTGACTGTGTTTCATGCCTTTCATGTTCTTTAAGAAATCGAATGTTTTGGGGGGTCCAGGGTTTTCGGGATTCCTGGTCGCCTGGTTATCCGATTATGAAGGCCTTGGAAGCTGTAGATCGTTCCTGCGAAAAAAAATATAAATTAACACAATGTGAAAACAAGATTTGCATTTACTTGGAACGTGTTTTAACATTTCGAAAGGTTTGGGGGGTCCGGAGTTTTCAGGATTCCTGGTCGCTCTTCATGTTCCTGCCCCTGCTGTCCTTTCTGCAGTTATCCCCACTGCTCCCGCTTCCGCTTCAGGCCTCCTACCCCACCCTTGTCCCATTCTCCACCCTCGCCGGGGAGGGGGGGATGAGGAGCAGATGAGGAGGAGGAGGAGGTCGCCCTCGCAGCGGGGCGTCTTGGGACGATCTTTGGAGTCTCGTGGGCTGTTTGGGGCAGTTCTTGGCTTCAAAAGGGGAGAATCCGAAAACCCTCCCAAAACCATAGAAACATCACTCACCTCTCTCGCCTAGGCTGCAGAACCCGATGTTGCATCTTTAGGCCTTCCTGGGAAGCCTCTTGGCCCGGGCTGCACAGTGGTACGACATATCATTAATACTCGTACTACTGCGCAGCCCCCACGCCCTCTTGGGCTGTCTTGGGGCCCCTTTGGGCCGTCTTGGAGCGACTTGGAGGCCTTTGGCCGTCTTGGAGCTATCTTGGAGGCTTCCTGGGGCCCTCTTGGCAGTATCCTTGGGCCCTCTGGGAACTCTTTTGGGGCCGCCTTGGGGCCCTCTTGGGCCGTTTTGGGACCATCTTGCGCGTCTTGGAGCCCTCTTGGATCGTTTTCGGGTCCCTTGGAGGTCCTCCTGGGCCGTCTTGGGACGATCTTTGGAGCTTCTTGGGCCGTTTGGGGCCGTTCTTGGCCCCAAAAGGCGAGAACCAGAAAACCCGTCAACAACAACAGAAAAATCGATAGATGTTGTCTCTTTGGGCACTCCTGGGAAGCCTCTTGGAGGCGTCTCGGGGCTCTCTTGGACCGTCCTGAGACCATCTTAGGCCATCTTGGAACGGTCTTGGACGGCCTCGGGGTCTCTTTGGGAGCTCTTAGGTCGTCTTGGAGCCCTCTGGGACCCCTCTTGGGGGTATCCTCGGCCGTCTTGGGCGCCTCTTGGGTCGTCTGGAGGAGGAGGCGGCATTAGACTTGGAACGCTCTTCGGCTGTCTTAGCCTCTCTTGGAGCGCTCCTGGACCGTCTCGGAGCCCTCTGGGACCCTTCTTGGGGGCATATTGGGGGCCGGCCCTCCTAAAACCGGGTGGGATTTTAGAGAGACCAGTCCCCTTCAAACGGGAGGGGATTTAAGGCGGACCAGTCCCTTTAAACCGGATGGGATTTTAGGGAGACCGCCCCCCTCAGAATGGCGCCCATTTCAGGGGGACCGCCCCCCCTGGGCTGAGGGCTCGAAATGTCCGTTCGGGCCCCCCGTCTAGGCACATTCTTGGAGCTGTCTCGGGGGCCTGCCGCCTTGGAGGCCTCTTGGAGCGATCTTGGGGACGCGAGGGGAGCGAGGGAGCGAGGGACGAAGGGACGGAGGCACGGGTCGGAGCAAGGGAACGAGAGAACGAGGGAACGAGGGAGGAGGAGGAGGAGGAGGAGGAGGAGGAGGAGGAGGAGGAGGAGGAGGAGGAGGAGGAGGAGGAGAGAGGAGGAGAGGAGGAGGAGGAGGGAGGGGGATGGAGGGAGGAGGAGGAAGGAGGAGGAGGAGGAGGAGGAGGAGGAGGAGGAGGCGAGGCGGAGGAGGAGGAGGAGGCGGAGGCGGAGTAGGAGGAGGAGGAGGGAGGAGGCGGAGGAGGAGGAGGGAGGCGAGGAGGAGGAGAGCGAGGAGGCGGAGTAGGCGGAGTAGGAGGAGGAGGAGGAGGAGGAGGAGGAGGAGGAGGAGGAGGACGAGGAGCCGTTGCCCGACTCGGGGGCGTGGGCCCCCCCTGCCCCGCCCTCGACGCAGGGGCGGAGGACCCCGCAGCGGGCAGCTGTCAGGCGAGGCGCCCCGCGCTTCCCGCGCCATGGCGGCCGAGGCGCCCGCGACCAAGCTCGACACCTCCAACGTCCTCAGCCGCCGCTGCCGAGCACGTCATCAGCCGAAAGTCACCCCCGATCGCTGAGACTCCACGAGCTCCCGGTGGCCAGCGCCCCCAATCACCATGGAGGCCCACAACTCGGAGTCGCAGCCATGCGCCGGCTCGCATACGCCGTTCGCAGACGGTCTGCACCAGGTGCCAATGACAGAATCCTCAGCGCCAACCGCTGCGCCTGCGCCGGCACGCGTGCCGAGGCCGACACCCACTCCATAATCAAGGCTGGCGACCGCGACAACGAGTTGCGTAACAAGCAGCAGGACTACACAGGGACCTCCAGCATGAGCACGGGGGCCGTTGTCTCTGCCCCCTCTGGGCCGCCTGGTTATCATTGGGGCTGCCATGCCGATCTCCACGCGCCCACCGTCACGCCTGGAATCATTACGGACGCGTTCAACGCCAGCGCCAACCACAACGAGGAGAGCACCAACTTCACTGTCTCCACCTCCAACGCCTACGTTCACGAGGACATCGAAGGCGCGGTCGAGGAAGAGGGGGGGAAGACGCCGATCACGAGGAGGCGCACGAGGATGACAAGGACGAGGATATCAAACGCACGGTTCGGCTCGGCGCCCCGGCGCCACGGCCATCCCAGCGGAGGAGGGCGAGGGGGAGGAGGACATCGGGTGCGTGGGTGCCCTGCGCGCCTGGCCTCGCCTCGGGGGACTGCCTCGACCGCCGAGCAGGACTCCAGCGACTACTTTTAAGTCGGGCCTGTCTCTCTACATGAGGAAAATTCAAAAATTGTCAAACAGTAGTGGGGTGAGGATTCTTTGGCCATTTCTGAATATTGAAGGGCTTTTATCTTTCGTCCAAAATCCCCTGTAGGGGGACAGGCCTGAGCTAAGACTACCGCGACGCCAACGGCGAAGACCTGGAAGAGGCCCGGGCTGCCCCGGCAGCACTGCACAAGCTGGGCACCTCAGCAGAAGGTCGGGGGCGGAAAAGAAGGGGGGTGATGACTAGGGGGGGGGGGGATATCATGGCGTGGGCCATGATATTTCCCCAGATTTCATGACGCCTCTGCTTGTTTCATTACGTCCCTGGCCCCCCCCCCCTGGGCCGCGCACATGCCGCTGGCCATGGTTTGCGCCCCCCCCTCTTTGACGCCCCCCTCTTGGCCGCTCCCGACAGAAGGGGGGCCCCCAGGGCAGCCCCCAGGGCGCCGGCCCAGAGAGGCCAGCAGGCCCGCAGGCGGGGCAGGACCCAGCCCCGGCCGCAAGAGCAGGAGGGCCCGCGAGCCCGACCAAGAACGCCACGCCTCGAGAGGCCGCGCGTTCCTCGTCTCGGGGGCGGAAAAGAGGGGGGGGGACGACTAGGGGGGGGGGATATCATGGCGTGGGCCATGATATTTCCCCAGATTTCATGGCGCCTCTGCTTATTTCGTTACGTCCCTGGCCCCCCCGCCGGGCCGCGCACATGCCAACGGTCATGATTTGCACCCCCCCCTCTTGGACGCTCCCCTCTTGGCCGCTCCCGATCGTCGCCGCGGCTCGAGAAGCCACCCCTCGCAGACCATGTTCGAGGACCGCGAAGGGACGGCTTGTTCGGCCCCATCACAGCTATCCATATCTGCGCTGGCTACACTTTGATTCGCGTCCCGATCGAGGAGGCGTCTCACAAGGCCCGTGAGCGCATGGACGGTCAGCAGCTTTGAGGCGCAACGTGCCAGGGGCGCGCCCGCCTGCGGGCCGCTGGCGTTGCTGGCCTGACGCTCGATGATCTTGAATAGATATCCTTGGAGGTCGTCTGCCTGTCACTGAACGACCTGCAGAAGTCTCTACACCATACGGGGGGCAGAGCTGGCAGCCGCTGGGAGGCGGTGCAGCTATCAAGGAAAAACCCGCTCCAGTAACTGCGCTCACGCTGAAGACAGAGGTACATGCGACACATGCCAGTGCCGCATAGGTCAGGGCGCCGCCATATTGGACTGGTTGTGCAACCGATGGATTTGCACAAAGTGCATCGTGTACCAGCGCGTTTCCAGCGCCGCGCTCGACCACATGATGACCCAGAGGCGAGGTAGGACGCCAGGAGAGGAACCCCACCGCTTCCGAAGCGAGACTGCATTTCTACGCGGGCATCTGAACCAGCCCAGCCGCTCTGCACGCATGGGTGGGTGGACCCACGGGGATCGGCCTCTCTCCGTTGGGAGGGGCACACTCCTCAGTTCTACCCAGCCTCCGCTACAAACCCCCAATCGACGAGGCCCACAGGCGGCGCGGAGGCTTGCACCGCCAGCGCCCTGCCAGAGCAGCCAGCCCTCTCCCTCCACCCGAGCTTGCCTCCTCTGTCGCAGCGGGCTGGCTCCGGTGTTCAACCTGCAAAAAATCGCACGCAAAGCGCTGCTGGACCCACGACTCGGGGAACGAAAAATTACATAAAAACTCGGAGGTCCGCGCTGGCTTCTCGGATCGGCGCTGGACCCCCCATCCCTGGCGCGCGGAGCGCGCCAGGGGCGGCGCCGGAGGCGCCGCCAGGGGGATCCAGGGCGGATCCGAGAAAAATCCGCGCGGACCTCCGAGTTGTTATCTTTATGTCACTCTTCGTTCCCCCAACGACGGCACTCCCTGCCAACAGTTGCGTGCTCGCACTGCGTGACCGCCTGCAGCTCACAACGGGTCGGCATGAGTACCCACATGCGAAGGAAGGACAAAGAGAGCGGAGAACAGGCGGAGGGGAAAACACAGGCAGAGCACGCAAGGAGAGGGAACGGCAGCGTGCCGTTGCGCAGCATCGCCTCCCGCTTCGCAGCTCGACCTCTGCGAGCGTGGCCGAAACTCTGGCCACGGAACGGGGAGGTCGCTGCGGTGCGCTGCCAGGCCCCCGAGCAGGGCGGCGGAGCGGGAGCCCGGGCCGCCACGCGGAGCGCCGCGGGTGGCACGGCCCTGCGCGGGCCTGCGCGGGCCTCCGCCTTCTTGCATGTGCTTCTGCCGCCCGCCGCGCGCCCGAAACAGCGGCGCTCCCTGCCAGCCGCGCCGCGCTCGCGCTGCTCGGAGCTCGGGGAGGTCGCCAGGGCGAGCGGGAGCCAGGCCGCCGCTCGCAGAGGGCTGCGCGCGGCACGGCCTGCGCGGCCGGCCAGCGCGGGCCCGCCGCCCACCTCTCTCCACGGCCGCCGCTGCCCGCGCACCGCCAGCAGCCTCCTCCTCCTCCTCCTCCTCCTCCTCCTCCTCCTCCTCCTCCTCCTCCTCCTCCTCCTCTCCTCCTCCTCCTCCTCCTCCTCCTCCTCCTCCTCCTCCTCCTCCTCCTCCTCCTCCTCCTCCTCGCCCTCCGCCCGGGGGTCTTGGGGGGGCCTCGTAGCGTGTCCCAGCCTGCGTTGTCCTACCGGTTCGAATATACGCTTGCCCCGAAGTTCCCCAGGAGGTCTTGCGGAGCCCCTCGGAGCTCCTGGGCAGCTTGCTTCCAGAAGCCTGCAGCTCCCCAGGCATGCTTTGCCTTCGAGTGATCCGGCATGCTGCAGGGGACGAGCGAGGACAGGGGGGGGGGGGGAGCGCACGGGGCGACTCTCTGACCCAGAGGGCCGCGGATGCCGCCGACGCCCCCCGAAAGCATCCCCCCTCTCTTTTTCCCTGTCCCCCTCCTGCCCCGTCGCCCCGCCCTTTCCTCTCGTGTTCTCCCTGGGGTGCTCTGATGGTGTTTCGGCGGTGTGGACGGCCTTCCCTTGTCCCTCCCTCCTGCATGGTGGCTGAATTCGCCTGACGTTGCCCGTTTCGCTGTGCTCGCCAGCGCAGTTCCTCTGCCTAGCCGCCGACGTAAGAACTGCGTGGACGGCCTTCTCCTTCCCCGCTCCTGCCCTCATCCGTCGCGCCTGCTGCTCTGCAAAGGCTCATCCTCTCTCTCTCTCTCTCTCTCTCTCTTCTGCTCCTGTTGCTCCTCCTCGTGTCGCTCCTCCGCCGGTGTCTCCCATCTCCTCGGGGGCCGCCGCCCCCCCTTTCTGCTATGGTTCCCGCGTTGGCAAGGCGCCGTCTCCCTCTCTTCCCATCCGGCATCTGGCCTGATCGGATGGAGCCACCGGCGTTTTCGGGAGAAAACACGCCCGGGCACAACGACTAGAAGATGGCGCAAAAGCGCCCCCCGCGCCCCCAATGTCAATACTCATCTAAGGGAGCAGGCCGCGGTTTGTGAGTGTGGGCGTATTTTTTTTTCCCGAAGCGACTCGCACTCCCCCGCGTCGACCACTCCGAACTTTGAATCTGGGGCAGGGGGTTGGGCCCGCTTCAGCACGCATCAAACATTGGCGTTTTTTCCTCCACGACAACCACGGCAGGCCGAGAGCGGAGGCGAGGGGCGCACGAGGACCCCACTACTCCCCAGCACAGACCAGCCCGCAGCTCGAAGCTCGAAGCAGGACGAGGAGGAGGGAGGGGGGAGGATCTTGGTGCCGGTCGGACGTGTGCACTGTTGTCGGCGGGGATTATAAAGTAGCATCTTGGATCATCCTGCGACAGAAACCACGCGCGAAACCGGAAAAAAACACAGGGAATGGACGTCCGAGCGATGGCCAGGGATGAGGTGGGGGGGGGAGGAAGAGCAAAGGAGGTGGAGGGGGTGGAGGAGGAGGGGGAGGCGAGTCGGGAGGCCTCTGGGCAACGACTCCGTGGATCTGGGGGGGGGTCCTGGGATCTCGGGGGACCTCTCCCCCCCCCCTTCCCCGACCTCCTCCTCCTCCTCCTCCTCCTCCTCCTCCTCCTCCTCCTCCTCCCTCCTCCTCCTGTTCCTCCACCTCCTCCTCATCCTCCTGTTCCTCCTCCTCCTCCTCCTCCTCCACCTCATGTTCCTCCTCCTCCTCCTCCACCTCCTTCTCCTCCTCCTCCTCGTCCTCCTCCTCGTGCTCCCCCCCCCCTCCCCGACCTCCGAAGCCGTGATTACATTCCGTGCCAGCGCTTCCTTCCGCTCCGCCGTCCGAGGCCCCCTCTGGGCCCCGGGGAGCGTCCGGAAGCGATGCCGCGCGGCGCGGGGGGCGGGGATGGCGCCACGAGTCTGCCGGGCAGGCTTACATTGCTAAAGAGGCAGTGGAGGCCTCCCCGCTTGCCTCCAGGGTGCCCTGGGGCTCGACTGCTCTCTGCGACAGAGAGCGTACCGCTCCCACACAGCAAAAGTCGAGGGACGCCCTGGGGTCTCGGGGTTGGGCTTCTTGTGGGAGGTTCTTCGTGGACGGCCCCCTGCAGTCAAAAACCCTAACAAGGACGCGCGACCTTGCTCAGGGTACCCTTGCGTCCTTGCTCTTCCTTGCTCTTGCATCCTTGGGGTTTTCGTCGCCCGCCGCCCCAAAAATGCCAATACTTCGGCTTCCGAGGGTCTCGCGTCCTTACCGCGCGTCCTTGTTAGGGTTTTTGATTGTGCTGCAGGCTGGAGACAGATCGCCCCACAACCAAAAGTCGAGGGACGCCCTGGGGTCTCGGGGTTGGGCTTCTGGTGGGAGGCTCCTCGTGCACGGGCCCCCTGCTGTAGGCTGAAGATAGATCGCCCCAGGGCGTCCCAAAACGCTCGCAGAGCGTCGTGGGAGGTTCCTCGCGGGAGGTTCCTCGGGGTTGAGCTCCTCGCGGGAGCTTCCTCGTGGACGGGCCCCTATGCTGCAGGCTGGAGACAGATCGCCCCCTGGGGCGCCCCAAAACGCTCGCAGGGCGTCCTGGAGCGCCCCCGGCGCGGCGGCGGCCCCCGGCCCACGAGCCGGACCCGCCGGCTCCCAGAGAGTCGCAGCGCGTTTTGAGTCGGGCCTGTCCCTCTACAGGAAGAATGCTCAAAAAGAGTCCATACATAATCTGGGGGCTATTTTTTGAGGTTAAATATTTTTTGATCATAAAAAATGGGTACTGTTTGACTATTTTTTACTTGTCGTCCAAAAATCCCCCTGTAGGGGGGGACACGCCCGACTGAAAAAGCTCGCCTCGGGCCCGGCTCCTTTTGTCGTCGTCCCTGCCCTCGCCGCGGCCTGCGGCCCCAGGACCTGGCCGATCACGGAGGCGAAGGCGCTGGAGCCCCTGCTGCAGGAGATGGGCCTGCGGGTGCCCGCCGAGGACATGCAGGGGAGCGAAGAGTGACACGAGCATATAGCCTCGGGGGCCCGACGGACCCCGACACGAGCCTTGGCAGGAAGGAAACGGGTCTCGAGGGATACAAGCAAACGCGAAGTGGAACAAAAACTAAGTGCCTGGGAGGATAATAGGGAAACAAAAAGTGGCATAAACATAAAAACTCATAAAAACTCGGAAGTCCGCGCGGAGTTCTCGCACCGGTGCTGGACCCCACCCCCACCCCTGGCGCGCGGAGCGCGCCAGGGGCGGCGCCGCCAGGGGGTCTGGCGCGGATCCGAGAAATCCGCCCGGACCTCCGAGTTTTTATGTTTATGTTCAGTCCAGCGTTCGCTAGGGATTGGTTCCCCCCCAAAACGACGACAACCCCTTCAGAACCCTGTTGGAACCCTTTCTGGAGGGTTTTCGGAGGATTTCGGGAAGGTTTCGGCTGTTTTGAAAGGAAGCCAGTCCCTAGCGTTAAGTCGGGCCTGTCCTTCTACAGTAGGAATATTCGAAAATAGTAAAACAAAATAGTCTGGGGGCGATTTCTTGACTATGTTTGATTCTTTTTGTGGATATGTCTTGACTATGTTTCATTTTTCCTCCGAAATCCGCCTGTAGGGGGGCATGCCCGACCGAACCCTGGCGAACCCTGGACGCTCTCAGGAGGGAAAAAACACACAGACACACTGAATCGTCGATCCCCCAGAAAATATAGGAACATATGGGAAGTGGGGGGGAAGACAGAAAACCCGAACAAAATATGGGAAAGTATAGGGGCATATTTCTATGCGTGTGTGTCTTTATTTGTGTGCCCTGGGGCCCCTTCACTTTCTAGGCTTGTGCCACTGCTCGCTCCCCGAGGACATTGACGGCACGGGCGCGGGAGCCAGCGGCCGGGCCCTGTCGGACACGCTTGTGTCCGTGGGGCCCTCGGGGCGGGGCGGCACGGGCTCCTTCATCTCGGCCGAGGGCCTGATCGTCACGAACCACCACGTGGCCCTGGACGCCGTGCGGCAGGCCGGCGCGGGAGACCCCTGCCCCAGCCCCGGCGCTCGTCGTCGAGGGCCCCGGAGCCACGGGGCTGCCCCCCGAGACCGGGTGGAGGGAGAGCGCCAGGGGTGAAGAGGTCACGGCGGGCGGGCGGGAGGAGGAGGAGGAGGAGCAGCAGCAGGAGCAGGAGCAAGAGCAAGAGCAGGAGCAGGAGCAGGAGCAGAAGGAGGCGGACGAGAAGGAGTGAGGGAGAAAAGTGCAGGGAGAGAAGGAGTAGGAGGAGGGGGAGGAGGAGGAGGAGGAGGAGGAGGAGGAGGAGGAGGAGGAGGAGAGGAGGAGGAGGAGGAGGGGGGGGAATGGAGGCGGGGAGGATGGAGGCGGGGGAGACAGGCCAGCACGGCCGAGCACGACCACGTGACCAACGGTTTCGTGGCGCGGTCGCGAGAGGAGGAGCTCGCGGGCCCAGACTACGAGGTGCTCGGAGGGCCCGGCCGCCCCGCCCCGCCAGACAAATTTGTCCCCCCCCCCTCTGCTTGACATTGCCCTTCCCCCCACCCGTTCGTCCCCTCCTTCTCCTCGTCCTCCTCCTCCTCCTCCTCCTCCTCCTCCTCCTCCTCCTCCTCCTCCTCCTCCTCCTCCTCCTCCTCCTCCTCCTCCTCCTCCTCCTCCTCCTCCTCCTCCTCCTCCTCCTCCTGTTCCTCCACCTCCTCCTCATCCTCATCATGTTCCTCCTCCTCCTGCTCCACCTCCTTTTCCTCCTCCTCCTCCTTCTCCTCCTCCTCGTGCTCCCATCCCCTTCGTTATCACAACTCCTCCCTGCCGCACCTCCAGACGTTTCGGTAAGGCAGGCAGGGCGTTTCGCCTGAGATGTCGCCGCCGCTTATGATCTTGAAGCTTAAAAGCTTGCAACCACTTCACGGATAGAGGGCGGGTCCCTTTCAAAATGCGATTCTCGCTTTATCTCGCCTTAGCGCCGCGCATGTTCGCTTCATATGTTCCAAAGATTACAACACTTTCACGGATCAAAGGTGGCTCCCGCTTGCGCGCCACGCAGATTCGCAATGAAGATCCATAGCAGCTTCACGAATGGAGGGTGGGTCCTTTTCAAAATGTGACTCTCGCCTGATCCCCGCCATACTGACCTTGAAGGTTCACACAACAGTTTCGCGGATGGAGGGCGGATCTTCTTCATAATGTGGTTCTCGTTTGAGCCCCGCGCGCCTTCGTCTTGAACGCTTGCAACAGCCTCACGGATGGAGGGCGGAAGGTTTTTGTTGTGTTAAGTGTTGTTCTTGTTTCAGCACCGCGCACATTCGCGTCACAAGTTTTCAACCGTTTCAAAGATTCCGTTTGGTCGAAGTCTTAGACATGGCGTTCTGGCACGATTTAGGGTTGACGCGACGCGGAAGTCATGCTGATTCGCGGCATTGAAGTCCCAGGCACGGTGTGTTTGCGCGGCTGAGGATTGTCAGGGCGCAAAAGTCACCTTGACCCGCGGCGTTGCAGTCCCGGGAACGGCGTTTGTGCACAATTGGAAATTCTCAGACGGTTGTTTTCTAACGGGCCAGTTCTCGCAATGAGCATACATTATTATTGTGGGGGGTTCGTGAGGAGGGAATGTGGAGGGAGTGTGGATTGCAACATCGTTGATGCGTCTCGGGTTTACAGTGATCCTACTCCTCCTCCTCCTCCTCCTCCCCCTCCTCCTCGTCCTTCTCTGTCCCCATCCTCAGGAGGACCAGGAGGAGAACTGAGGTTTTTGGACTTTCGTGACGCTGCGAAGCCCTCTGGAGGCTTCTGGAGGCTTCCAGAGCCCTCCAGAGACCTCCAGAGACCTTTTGGTATCTTTTGGGATTTCCTCTTCATCAGCAGCAGCATCATCATCTTCGTCATCACCACCATCATCATCATCATCATCATCATCATCATCATCATCAGCAGCAGCATCATCATCGTCGTCCGAACCATCCTCACCTCGCCTCGAAACAGCGCTGTCTCTGACGCGCGCTTTTGAGACCGGTGGATCAGCATCATCACCATCATCGTCATAATCGTCGTACGCATCACACTAAGAATCCTCATAATCAACGGCATCACCATCATAGGAGTAGTCAATACTATAGTCTTAGCGTGTCTTGGAAAGGCCCTGGGCGTTTTTAAATAGTAGTTTTCGGCTTTCATTCAAAAACACGTTTTCCAAGAGCTTCTGGCTCCTGGTTGTTTGTCGTTCTCAGGTATCCGCGGCGATGCGCTTTTTGATCGTTTCCAACGTGAGTCCAAGAGATCGTTTTTTTTGGTTTCCAACTTGTTTTTGTTCATCGTTTCCAGTTCTGGCTTGCAACGTGCTGTGTTGTATCCGGTAATGACAGGCAACGCACGATAAGAGTTCGACACGCTCTCTCCAAAAGGCTTCTCTGAGCTCTTATCGTGCGCTGCTTGTCAATCGCTGTCCGATCCCGTGCGCGTCAGAGCCGAAGACATCGTCGGTATTATAACGGCGGCGGCGGCGTCGTAATGGCGGCTTCAGCGGCGGCGGCGACATCCTCGATGTTTCCGCTTCCCCTGGGCCAAGGGTCGAAGTTGCCTAGTTGAGACCGTTTGCAACACATACGTTTCCGATACGGTTTCAACTCGTTTCCAAACTCCCATTCTGGTGGGTCGGATAGCGACTGACAAATAACGCACGGTAAGAGCTCGACACTCACCCAACAGCTTCTCTGTTGCACCTCCTGCCCGCTGCAGCCGTTACCTTCCTCCCATGCTGTCTGGTGCTGCTACTGCCTGTTGCTACTGCCTGCTGCTACTGCTCGCTGGTGCTGATACCCGCTGCGCCGCCCGCCCCGTATTCATCATCGGCATTCTCGTTTCGTGTCGCTTGTCCACCCACTCGTGTTTTGTTTCCAGGGGGCCGTTTCCTTACCGTGTCTTGTTTGCGCCGACTCGTTGTAAGATAGTTTCCACTTGATCGCGCGGAACCGTGTTGGGATAGTTTCCAGGGTTTGTTTTTTAATTGTTTCCAGGCGCCCGCTGTTGGCGCACAATACACAAAAGCTGGAAATTGTAAAGAAACGTCCAGGGCGTTTCCAAGACACACGAAGATGATAGTTCAGGATAGGCGTGATCATAATTTGTCATAGGCGGTGTCAGTATCCAGGTCGTCGCCCTCATCATCCGCATCATCACCATCCCCTTTCCACCTCATACTTCTTCATTCACCATCCATCCTCCTCTTTTTCTTGGTGCCTCTCCTCTTCCTGCTTGTGATATTCCTCCGTAAACGTGTCCGATTCTTGCTGTGTTCTTTTCGTGCCCCTTCTCATCATTGCCCTCATCCTCATCCTCATCCTGCTCGTCATCACCGTCGTCGCCATCACGATCCTCTCCATCCTCACGCATCATCATTCGCCGTCCCCTACTTACCCTCCTTGTCCTCGTCTTCCCTACGGTCCCCGTTCTCCCCCCCCTCGTCCCTCTCCCCTTTCGTCCGCCCGAGGTGTGGATCACCCGCTCCTGCGAGGACGTGAGCCCGACCATGCTGGAGGTCCTCGAGTCAGAGAAGGACCCGCTCAAGCGCGCCAACAGGATGCGCGACAAGAAGGAGGAGCTCGCCAAGGAGAGGGAGAGCACGCTGGGCTCCACCGCGCTCCGCTGCGAGGCGGCGGGCGCCCCAGCAAAAAAAAACACAACAAAAGAAGCAGCAACACAGGAAACACACAACAAGAGTCTAAACAATGATAAACACAAACAATAATATGAGTTGGCTTGTTTTCTAACAATGTATATATAAACAACAAACAAACAAACAAACAAACAAACGAACGAACGAACGAACGAACGAACGAACGAACGAACGAACGAACAAACAAACAAACAAACAACAACGCAACGCACATGAGGGGGCAGTCGGTGGAGCTCACTCTGGGGCCACGAAGCGCGCGAGGGGTGTGCCGAACAGGTGGACGTGCGGAGGGCAGAGGCAAGGATGAGGAGGGGGAGGAGGAGGAGGAGGAGGAGGAGGAGGAGGAGGAGGAAGAAGAGGAGTAAGTAGGAAGAGGAGGAGGAGGAGGAGGAGGAGGAGGAGAGGAGGAGGAGGAAGAGGAGGAGCGGGGAGGAGGGAGGGGGGGAAAGGGAGGGAGGGGGGAGGGGGAGCAGACGCGGGGGCCCAACGCCACAGGATGGCTGGGAAGAAAACGCCTCGCACCCGAGGGGATCGAGAGAAGAATGGACTCTCCTCGCCGTCGGCGGAGGGCCGGCGGAGAAGCCGAAACGAGCGCGGCTCCGCTGGTGGGGGCCGGCGGAAAGGGGCGGAGGTAAGCCTTCAGCGGCGAGGGAGGGGGGGAAGCGAGAAGGAGGCGGCCTTCTCGGAAGGCGGCGGGGCTTCTCAGAAGCCGGAGGGGCCGCCGTCGGCGGTCTGGGGAATGGCCATAGCAAAGCGGGCGCTTACCTTGCAACCCTGGCCCGTCCCTCCGGAACGAGAGCGTGTGGAGCGCAGTCTGCACGTGAGAGAAAGATCGTCCTTCATTCTTCTTCTCATTGTGCTTATTGTGCATCTTGCCCCACACATCCATATCTCATATTCTCGGAAGGCGGCGGGGCTTCTCAGAAGCCCTCGCGCCTTCGGAGCAGCTTTCTGCACCTTCGGGAAGACTCGGAGAGCTCCTCGGGAGGCCGTGGGAAGTTCCGAGCCTTCTGAGAAGGCCCGCGCCCTCTCGCCTCCCCGCGGGCTCGCCGCCGAGGCCCGGAGGTCCGGCCGTCACTCTTGGTTGTCACGCCAGGCGTGTCCGCCCGGCGGCCGATCGACCTCGCCGTGCCCCCGCTTCGCTCTCTCGCTGGTGCGGGTGGCCCCGCCTCGCCGCCGACGCAAACAAAGGCGCCCGCCCCGCCTGCGGAGCCCCGGCTCTCCGCCCCCGCCCTGCCTCTGCAGGCCCTGCCTCTCCGGGCCGGCCGCGGCCTCCGCTGCCCCTGCAGCCGCAGGCTCGTCTTCGGCCGGGTGCGCCTCGGAGTGCTGGCCAGGCGGCGCCCGAGTGGCGGGTCCAGGGGTCGAGCTCTGGCCCGGCCTCCCCCTCCGATAGGTCCCGGCGGCGAAGGCCGAGGCCGACCCTCGCCGAGCCACGCCTCGGGCAGCTCGAGGGGCGGCGGGGGCAGAGGGCTCGGAGCCCTCGCGCCGGCTCAACACGGCCTGAGCGGGCCCCCCCCTCTTCCTTCCCCGCCTATTTCTGAAGTCGGGCACGCCCCTCTATAGGAGGAGCGTTCCAGCGTGGCCAAAACACAGTCTGGGGACGATTTGTCCCCCACTTCTGGTCTCTATAGATGTTTGAATGTTTGTCTGACTCTTCCCATTTTTTCGCCCAAGATCCGCCTGTATAGGTTGGTGGGTGAAAGAGGGGGTCTGCAACAGGAGGTCTTCAATGGGGGTTGAATTGCCCATGTATGCTCAATGTATCGTTCATGTATGTGAACGGGTACGATGGCATCCAATGTTGGCGGTCATTGAGGGCCAGTCGTTCGTGCCCGCGCGTTGCCCGCGCGGGCACACGCGCCGTCCATCCATTAACGTTCATACGTGCGGGGGTTCTTGCATATTGCGCGTGGGGCAGCGAAGTGGAGTGCAAGTGTGTCTTGATTGTGAGATTGATGATCGTGTATGTTCCCAAACGATGACTTCTCGACCCCCAGGACAGATTTGGAATGGGGCCCACTTTTCTCCCAAAATGTGAATTCACATTTTCCTTTTCCCAATATGTGAATTCACATGTTCCTTTTTTCCCAAGATGTGAATTCACATTCTGGCCCCTTTCATAGAGAATCCTACACAAAATTCCAAAATGTGAATTCACATTTTCTTTTTTTCCAAAATGTGAATTCACATTTTCCTTTTTCCCAAAATGTGAATTCACATTTTGCTTTTCCCCACAATGTGAATTCATATTTTGCCCTGGCCTTCAAGATCCCCAACACTGAGGCGTTTTGTTCCGCATGTCAGATTGGCTGGGCAGATTTCGACACTCACCTGACCGCTTTCGTGTGTTCCAGCCTTTTCTTTTTGCGCCCTCAGCGCACGTTGCCTTCGTCGCCTTTCCCGAGCCCCCCGCCCCCTTGCTTCCTTTCCTTTCAAGTCTCGCGCATGGGTGCAGGCGGGGGGCTTCCATTAGTTCCCCCGCCGAACACAGCAATCGAGGATGCATCGCCCATTCATGGCCCATAAAGACATCATTGCCGGGACCCTGCGGCCGACCCCCACTTTCACCCTCCAAATAGGGGGACATGCTCGACCTGAGCCCATTTTCCGGTCAGCGTCTGTGCCGAATTCGCTTCCGGAGAATCCCACCGCTCGCCGACCGGCGCCCGACCGTCCATGGCCCCGCGTGGCGCCCGCGGGCGTGACAGAGCTCGCCTCGCCTCGGGCCCCCGGGGCTGGGCCTGGCTCGAGAAGTGCCTCGGAGAGAGGGGGTCCAGGGCTCTGGTCGTGACGTCTTGCGACGTCGAAGTCGTTGGGCGACGTCGGATATCTCGGGGCAGGATGCGCCCGCAAGAGGCGTCTGCTGTTTCGGATCCGTGGCCTCCGGAGCGGGCCAGGTGAAGGAGATGTTCGCGGATAAGAGTTACGTCCTCTTCACATTCGAGCGGCTCAAGGACGTGAGGATTGTGTACGTTCCCCCGATGAGCCTCGGCAATTTCGGCGGAGACACGGACAACTTCGAGTGGCCGCGGCACTCGGCAGATTTCACCCTCCTTCGCGCTTATTGCGGCCCGAGCGGGGAGTCCGCCGAGCCGTCTCCCGACAACGTGCCCTACAGGCCATCGAAGTATCTTCGCGCCTGCAGCAAGGGCGTGTCGCCAGGCGACGTGATCTCTCGTGCGTTCGCTCGTGGCGCGACTACGCTTGCAGATGGGCCGCTCAGCTAGAAGCATGCAGCATGCCTCCCTTCCCCTGCGCACACCAGCCTATCCAGGAACTGGCGTCGCGCCCTCGAGAGGCCTTGGAGAGGAGGAGGGAGGGAGCAACGAATCGTTTTTTACACATAGGCAGCAAGAGAAGAGGATGAGGAGGGAGAGAGTGGTAAGAGGAGGGGGACGAGGAGAGGAGGAGGAGGAGGAACGGGGAGGAGGAACGGGGAGGAGGGAGGAGGAGGAGGAACGGAGGAGGAGGAGGAGGAGGAGGAGGGAGGAGGGAGGGGGAGGAGGGAGGGGGGAGGAGGGAGGAGGAGGGGAGGAGGAGGAGAGGAGGAGGAGGAGGAGGAGGAGGAGGAGGAGGAAGGGAGGAGAGGGAGGAGGAGGAGGAGGAGGAGGAGAGGAGGAGGAGGAGGAGGAGGAGGAGGAGGAGAGGAGGAGGAGGAGGAGGAGGAGGAGGAGGAGGAGGAGGAGGAGGAGGAGGAGGCCATGGCCGTGATCACCAAAGCTGGCCTCCGGGATAGCCTGGTGGGCGCCCAGCGTCCAGAGAAGCGTGGCGCCCCGATCGAGGCACGCGGTGGCGATGCCGTGGGCCCGCGCGGGGGGGGGGGTCATCTGAAGTCGGGCATGTTCTTCTACAGGAGGAAGATTCAATAGTCAGGGGATGATGTTTCCATGATCTTTTGACTAGGTTTGAGTATGTTTGAGTACTTCGAATTTTTTGTCCAAAATCCGCCTGTAGGGGGACGTGCCCGACCTAAGGGTAGTCAGGCGACTTTGTCTTCCTGCTGGGCTTCCCGGGCCACACCATGCGGTACGCGCCCAGCAGCAGGCTCGCCTACTCCGACGAGGTGGCGGTCCCGGAGCTGATCGAGGATTATGTTGTTCCCATCGTACGTTGGCGATGCGCACAAGGTGGTGGAGGGAGGGGGGAGGGCTTCTTAGAAGGAGGCTGCTTCTTAGAAGGCGCCGGCCTTACATCTATAGGTGAGGCCCGCGCCTTCTAAGAAGCAGGGGTGCTTATAAGAAGCCCTCCCCCCTCCCCCCACCCCCCTCTGCGCTTGGCTGAGTACTTCAGGACCACGTCCCAGACATTGTTTCGAGCACCCAGAAAAGTTTCGAAACAGAGCCGAACGAGTATCGCCTCCCAGGGCCCGACGCGTAAGAACCGTCAAGGTTCGGTACTTTCTCTGGGTGCTCGACATTATTTCTGGCGGTCAAGGCTAAAGTAGGTTGGAACACCATAAATCGAGGACTTCTCTCGGAAGATCAAGCTGATCGAGCTCCACGCGAGCGAGCCCCGGGCCGTGGCCCTGAAGCTGCTGTCCACGAAAAAGGTCCGGCAATGCCAGGGGGGGGAGGTCACCATTGAGGGGGGTCGGAAGATCCTCCTGAGGATGGAGGATCAAGGGCCGAGGACCGTGTTTTTGACCCTCTGGGCCATAGCGCCCGATATGCCGCGTACCCTCCCCCCCTCCCCCTCCCCCATAACGCATCGCTCCCCCCCTCAGTGCGTCCCCGGCACTGCCGCAGCGCCTCTGGCATCACAGTCTGGGGGAGGGGGGGGGGGGGGGGCGCTACGTTATGCCCCCTCCCACCCCCATGACGCCCGTTGTGGCCGCGAATAGTGCAATGCGCTCGAGGGGGCTTTGGACGAGCTTGAGCGGTTTGGGAGGCTCTGGGGGGATTGGGGAGGTCCTACGGGGTCGCCCTCGACGAGGACGTGACGATCCCCCTGACTAGCAGGGCCTAGTTCAACTCGATCAATCCAGTTCGGTGCCGAGTTCACCAGGCTCGATCTGAATCGACGTCGATTTTCCGGCGATCCGATGCGGCCTGATGTTGGCACAGTCGGGGGCGGCAAAGAGGGGGGTGATGACTAGGGGGGGTGGATATCATGGCGGGGGCCATGATAGTTCCCAGATTTCATGGCGCCTCTTCTTATTTCATTACGTCCCTGGCCCCCCCGCTGGGCCGCGCACATGCCGCCAGTCATGATTTGCACCCCCCCCTCTTGGACACCCCCCTTTTGGCCGCTCCCGGCACAGCGCAGTTGTATCACTATCTGGGCGCAGCCGATTCGATTCAATTTCGATTTCTAGCCGCATGCAACCCGATCCGACACTAGACCCCCGACGTCATGATTTGTTCATGACGTCGACCCCCAGAGGTCTCGAACCGTTCCCCAGGACCGGTTTGTCATCCTGAGTCGTTTTTGACGGTCCCGAAGGCCGGTGAGGGCCCCCAGATGCCGAAAATAGCGCAACAAATCCCCCTCCTGATTTTTTCGTTGCCCGAGGGGATCTGGGACACGCGCTCCGATTCCGCCCGACTTCCCGAGCCGATGCCGACCGATCCTGCCACGGCGGGCCCCCCCCTTGGCAGTGCCCGAGACAGGGCCTGCTGAACGAGCTCAAGCGGAGCAGGGGCAAGAGGTCGGCTGCGAAATCCGAACCCTATCCTCGCCGATCAACGATTCTAGGGGGACGAAGAATGACATAAACATCACAACTCGGAGGGCCGCTCGGATTTCTCGGATCCGCGCTGGACCCCCCTGGCGGCGCCTCCAGGGCTCCTCCCGTGGCGCGCTCCGCGCGCCAGGGAGGGGGGTCCAGCGCCGATCCGAGAAATCCGCGCTTTTTATGTATGTGTCATCCTTCGTTCCCCTCGGTTCAGGCACCTCGATGGGCGGCGGAGGTAGGGTGCGGAATTCTTCGAGCATGTGGCGCAACCTGGACCCTAGTCCCGCCTACCGTCGACTCGGGGGAATCGATGGTTGGTGTGGGGTTAGGGATCGTGCCCAGACATCCGGCTGCTCCAATTTTTGTTGATGCGTGGGCCCCAGGGGTCCGGACCACTTCCCGAGGGCCGGTTCGTCCTCCTGAGTCGCTTTCTGACGCTCCCGAGGCCCGGCGAGGGCCCCCAGAGGCCGAAAAACGGCCAAAAACCGCCAGCTCCAATTCTTGTTGGAGTGTCGGGTCTCTGGAGATGTCGCCACCGAAAGAGGGTCATGATGCGGAAGCTGAGGCTGCTGGACGAGCGCCGGGCCGAGGAGGCCGCCCTGTGCGCCGCGGCGCCAGCCGCCGAGGCCTCGCCGGGAGGGGCAGTGGACCCAGGCAGACCTGCGGGCAGGGTTCATACCCATATCCACTGCGTCTTGGATATTTTTGGAAGGAGCACCCCCGCCGCTGGCCCCCAGCCCGAATTCCCGATGGATCGGGGATGGGCAGAACCCCACGTGTCTCAGTGAAAACGACCTCGGGCCCAAACCTGGCGGGCGCAAGCCTGGAAAATGACGGCCGCGGCGCCGTCTCGAGAACCAAAAACGAACAATTCACTAATCGACGCGTCGGGGTGGGGGGTTCTGTCCACCGCCGAGTGTAAGACCAGACCCCTGACGTCGTGATTTGTTCACAACGTTGACCCGCAGAGGTCTGGACCCCTTCCCCGGGACCGGTTCTTCATCCTGAATCGTTTCTTGGACAGTCCCTATAAGCCCAGGGAGGGCCCCCGAAGGCCGAAAATCGTGAAAACTTCCCGTCGTGATTCTTCTCACAGCGCGAGAGGGTTTGGGAACCTTTTCTCTTTTGCTTCGGGGTACAGTCGGCCCAGATCAGTAGGTCGACCCTGCCAAATCAAAGGGTACCCTTGTGTCCTGCGTCTCGCGACCCGTGCCTCCTGCATTCCTACGGCAGTGTGGCCCTCGGCAGGGTTTTTTGTCCTGTCGCGTGCCCTGTCCAATGAAGTCCGACTGTATCACCCTGGGCCAATTTCACCCCGCCAGGGGGCCACATGCGAACCCTACCCTTACCCCCCACGATTTCTGAGGGGGAGGGTGGGGTTCACTTCGCTCGGGAGCTCCCGAACGAAGTGAACCCCGCCCTCCCCCTCAGAAGTCGTGGGGGGCAGGGGTAGGGTTCGCATGTGGCCCCCTACCCGCGCCGTGCAGCCCCGCTTGGGCGACCCAGACCACTCGAGCGGCCGAGGCCCGCCCGGGCGCCTCGAGCACTCTGGCGAGCCTGCGCTCTCGAGACCCTGCTGCGGGCAGCGCTCCTGTCCAGACCCACTGCGCTGTTGAGCTCCGGGGCCTCCCGCTCGCCCCCTGTGCCCGGGGCCCACGCCTCCCCAAAAAATTGGAGCAGCCGGATGTCTGGGTGGGAGGCGTCGGGGAACACCGGAAAAACAAGTGTGGAACCCGTACCCCCCCCGACCCGAGATTTGGGTCTTCGGGTTGGGTTGGGGTGGTCTGTGCGGCGGGTGCCGCGGATGAATAACTATTATCCTCTATTGGCGGGACCCCAGTCCTTCAATAAGGTCGCCGAAAGAATAACTAGTTACCCCCTATGGGGGGGCATATCTACAAACCCGTATGAGTTGGTCAGGAAGGACGGGAACAGATCCCCGGCTGAACCTGCATCTGTGTGAGGCCAATCGCCCTCTCAGGGCCCCCATCCCCGGGGGCCCCATCTTTGAGCCGCCGAGAGTCGGCGCACCATTCCCGGCGCTGAAAATATCAACACCTCTGGCGCCGCCTAGGGCTTCAGGATCTTTTGTTATGATGCCCCCCCTGTCTCTCTCGGCGGTGAGTAAAACTGGTCTCTCATCTGCCTCCTGCTCCTCCTGCTGCTCCTGCTCCTCCTCTTCCTCGTCCTTCTCCTCCTCGTCCTCCTCCTCCTCCTTCGCCTCCTCCTGGTCCTCCTCCTCCTCCTCCTCCTCCTACTCCTCCTCCTCCTCCTCCTCCTCCTCCTCGTCCTCCTCCTCCTCCTCCTGCTCCTCCTCTTGCTCTTCTACTACTGCCGCGCGGAGGGCGCTTTCTTGCCCGCCGTCTAGCAGCATCCAGCAGCCGCGGGGCGTAGTATATCGAGAGGTCCTCCCTGTGGCGATCTGGGGCTCCAGGTAGGGCGCGCGGAGGGGGCCCAGCCCCGGCGGAAGAGCCGTCCGCGGACGTCCGAGGAGGAGGAGAAGGAGGAGGAGAAGGAGGAGGAGGAGGAAGACTGACGTTTCACGCTCCGTGCTTGAGTGGTCCAAAAAAGGGAGAAGGATGATGAGGAGGAGGAGGAGGAGGAAGTAGTAGTAGTAGTAGAAGCAGCAGCAGCAGCAGCAGTAGTAGTAGTAGTCGTAGTCGTAGTCGTAGTCGTAGTAGTAGGAGTATAGTTAGTAGTAGTAGTGGTAGTAGTAGTAGGCAGTAGTAGTAGTGTTAGTAGGAGTAGGAGTACTAGTAGTAGTAGTAGTAGTAGTTAGTAGTAGTAGTAGTAGTAGTTAGTAGTAGTAGTTAGTTAAGTAGTTAGTAGCAGTAGTAGTAGTTAGTAAGTAGTTAGTAGGTAGTAAGTAGCCTAGTAGTAGTTAGTAGTAAGCGCAGCAGCAGTAGTAGTAGAACAGTCGTAGTAACAGTAGTTAGTAGTAGTAGTAGTTAGTAGTAGTAGTAGTCGTTTAGCAGTAGTAGTAGTAGTAGTTAAGTAGTTCGTAGTAGTCAGTCGTAGTAGTAGTAGTAGTTAGTAGTAGTCGTAGTCGTTAGTCGTAGTTGTAGGTTGTTGCTATAGTAGTTATAGTAGTTAGTAGTAGTAGTAGTAGTAGTAGTATTAGTAGTAGTAGCAGCAAGCAGCAGCAGCACGGAGGAGGAGGGGAGGTTAGTATGGTATAGCACTAGTAGTAGTAGTAGTAGTAAGTAGTAGTAGTAGTAGTAGTAGTAGTAGTAGTAGTAGTAGTAGTAGTAGTAGTAGTAGTAGTAGTAGTAGTAGTGGTAGTAGTCGTAGTCGTAGTCGTAGTAGCCGTAGTAGTCGTAGTAGTCTTAGTAGTCGTAGTAGTCGTTGTAGTCGTAGTAGTCGTAGTAGTCGTAGTAGTCGTAGTAGTAGTAGTAGTAGCAGCAGTAGTAGTAGTAGTAGTATCTAGTAGTACTGGTTGTAATAATAGTAGTAGTAGTAGTTGTTGTTGTTGTTGCAGTAGTAGTAGTAGTAGTAGTAGTAGTAGTAGGAGTAGTAGTAGTAGTAGTAGTAGTAGTAGTAGTAGTCGTATTAGTAGTAGGAGTCGTAGTCGTCGTCGGCGTCGTCGTCGTCGGAGTAGTTAGTTAGTAGTAATAGTCTAGTCGTAGTGTTAGTCGTAGTAGAGTAGTAGTAGTAGTAGTTGTAGTAAGTAGTAGTAGTAGTCGTAGTCAGTCGTAGTAGTCGTTAGTAGGTAGTAGTATAGTTAATAGTAGTAGGTAGTAGGTAGTTCGTATGTATAGTTAGTAATTAGTAGATAGTAGTTAGAGTAGTAGTGAGTAGTAGTAGAGTTTAGTAGTAGTAGTTGGTCAGTTAGTAGTGAGTAGTATTTAATGTAGTAGTAGTAGGGGTGGTGGTGGTGGTGGTAGTCTAGTGGTAGTTGGTTAGTGGTAGTGGTAGTGGTAGTGGTAGTGGTTATGGTAGTGGGTAGTGGTAGTGGTAGTGGTAGTGGTAGTAGTTATTAGTAGTATTATTAAGTAGTTAGTAGTAGTAGGTAGTAGTAGTAGTTAGTAGTAGTCATCGTAGTAGTAGTAGTAGTTAGCAGCAGCAGCAGCTAGTAGTAGCAGTATTAGTAGTATTGTTGGGTAGTAGTTAGTTAGTAGTAGTAGTATGGAGGAGGAGGGAGTAGTTTAGTATTAGTGGTAGTAGTAGTACTAGTAGTAGTTATGTAGTAGGGGGACTAGTAGTAGTAGTAGTAGTTATAGTAGTAGTAGTAGTAGGAGTAGATAGTAGTAGTAGTAGTAGTAGTAGTAGTAGTATGAGGAGGAGGAGGATGAGGAGGAGGAGGAGGAGGAGCAGCAGCAGCAGCAGCTGGAGGAGGAGGAGGAGGAGGAGCAGGAGGAGAAAGAAGAGGAGGAGCAAGAGAAAAAGGAGAAGGAGCAGCAGAGGAGAAGGAGGAGGAAGAGGATGAGGAGGAGCAGCAGCAGGAGGAGGAGGAGGAAGAGGAGGAGGAGGAGGAGCAGGAGAAGGAGGAGGCAGAGGAGCAGGAGCCGCAGCAGGAGCAACGAGAGGAACAACAAGAACAGAAGGAGTAATGAGGAGGGGGAGCAAAGGGAGGAGCAGCAGTAGCAGCAGCAGGAGGAGCAAGAGGAGGAGGAGGAGGAGGAGGAGCAGGAGCACGAGGAGGAGGAGAGGCGGCGCTGCGTGAGCTGGAGGGCGTCTACGGCGAGCTCCGGGCCATCGCGCCGCGCTCGGCTGCCCTGGAGACCCGCCGCCCGCGCTCTAGCCCACCGATGTTCCTTACGGTCGGACCGAGGTATGAGATCGATGTTGGTTCGGGGAGGGCACCCTGATGTGATTGGCGCCTGTGGGATGTTCTTGTGCATCCTGGGGGGGTACCCTCGAGTGGTCTTATCGTTTGGGGTATTCTGGCCGGCGGAGGGTCTCATCTTCTTGAAGGAACGTTTGATGTCTCAGGATCAGCCGCATCATCCGAAGGCCACAGGGGGCTCTGGTACTCCGGAGCGCCATACAGATCAACGGAAAGCGTCGTCGCCGTGTGAAAACAACGTATCAAGTCAAGTCAAGTCAAGGCCGCGCGTCCCAAGGGCGCGTGAGCAAGCTCAGGGGGTACGCATCGCTGGTTGTGGCATCGCATGTACATGTTGTAGTGGCCCTGCCCCTCGCAACAGAGCAAGCCGCTTGAAGCGGCTGTCTCCCGCAATGTGTGCAATGCTTTGGGGCCTCGTTGTATTGTGTTCAATGCTTGCTTGAGCCGTTATGTTGAGCTCTCTGGGAGTGGGGATGCTATCGGACGCTTCCAGCCCTCCTTCCGTGGCTGCATGCCTTCAGTTATCCAATCGGCTGGTGCCACTCCTCCATCGGCAGTACAGGCCCCACATGGCATCGGCATCTCCCGTCGCTCCTCCCCCCCCATGGGGAGGGGGAGAGTGAGCAGGAGAAGGGACCCAGGGAGAGGGGCAGGAGGAGGAGGACTGAGGAGGAGGAGGAGGAGGAGGAGGAGGAGGAGGAGGAGGAGAGAGGAGGAGGATGAGGAGAGGAGGAGGAGGAGGAGGAGGGAGGAGGAGGAGGAGGAGGAGGAGGAGGCGGAGGGGCGGAGGAGGAAGACAAGGCGGAGGAGGAGGAGGAGGAGAAGGAGGAGGAGGAGGAGGAGGAGGATGAGTAGGAGGAGGAGGAGGAGGAGGAGGAGGAGGAGGAGGAGGAGGAGGAGGAGGAGGAGGAGAGGAGGAGGAGGAGGAGGAGGAGGAGGAGGAGGAGGAGGAGGAGGAGGGGGGAGGAGGAGGGAGAGGAGGAGGAGGAGGAGGAGGAGGAGGAGGAGGAGGAGGAGGAGGAGGAGGGAGGAGGAGGAGGAGGAGGAGGAGGAGGAGGAGGAGGAGGAGGAGGAGGAGGAGGAGGAGTCACGTGCTCCTCCCCTCCAGAAGCGACGGTGGCGCGGAAGGCCTTGCCCCGTCCAGCCTCCGGCGCGCGGCTCCGTCCTTGCCCACAGGCCCCAGCGCTTTTAGGCTCTTGGGACCATCTTGGGGGCCTCCTGGGCCGCTCTGGGGGCCATCCTGGAGGTCTCTTGGGCGATCTTTCGGGTCGCTCTGGGGCCGTCTCGGGCCGTCGGGAGGGCCAAACAGGAGCAGATGCCAGAATCCTTCGAACACTTGCGGCAAAAATGTATGGTTTTGGCCTCTTCGGGCCTTCCTGGGTGGGGGTGTGGGGGGGGGGGGCGGCGGCGGCGGCGGCGGCGGCTACGCCGCGCGGGCGCCGCAAGAGGACAAGCTGCGCGGGATATACGGGGGCAGCGGCCTGCTCTACGCGGGACACGTCCTGGCAGAGGCCGCGGCTGAGGCGGGGAAGCCAGAGTCCGAGAGGGAGCAGGCCTACCGAGAGCGCAACCGCCCGTACACCAAGAAGATGCTGGTAAAGAAGCTGGGCGACCTGCATCGGCCCATCGAGGTGCCGCTGGTGCAGGACTGGCCGCGCGGCGCCGCGCAGCCAACCGCTCCAGAACATTGATGAGCGAGTGGTGGCTGGCAGTCCTCGGAAAGCATCCTCCTGCCCGCCCACCCTGCACATTGGGGGTGGGGCTGTTGGGGGGCGGTCGTAGTAGGGAGCTGGCAACCCGCAGGACGCTGTGGCAGCGGCACGGGACGTGGGCTTGCCATTTGTTGGAGATGCCATCGGCGACGTCGAGAAGGCGGTCGCCGCCTCCAAGTTGCCATCCCTGTCTGCGGCGGAAGTGGAGGCGCTCCTCGCTGGCGAAGCGTCGGCGGGCATCGGCGAGGATCCGTTCGTCAAGGCCGCCACCGCCGCCCTCGACGAGCAGGTGGCCATCCGAGACCAGACGAAGGCGCCGCCCACCCGAAGTCCGTGGGGCCTCTCGCGGGCGGGGCGGGGCCGGCGGCACCGAGGATGGGGCAGGGCCCAGGCGAGGGCGGCCTCTCGGGACGGCCGCCCTCGCCTTGGCCCCCTCGGCGCCCCGCCCGGGGGGGGGGGCTGTCGGACACCGCGGGCTCGCGCCGCGCCGGCGCGGCGGCGGCGGCGCCGGCGCTCAAGGCTGAGGTTCAGTCGGGCCTGTCCCTCTACAGGGAAGATATTCACAGGTAGTCAAAAGAACAGTCTGGGGACTATTTTTTGTATTTGTCACCCTTTGGGAGTATTTTTAGGGGGTATGTTTCATTCTTCGTCGAAAATCCCCCCGTACGGGGTCACGCCCGACTTACGGCCGAGGGCATCCGGCGGCCTGGGCCGGGCCGCAGCCTCAGGACGGAGCCCGCTGCCAGCGGGCAGCGGAGGCCCCTCGAGGTGGGAGGGCTCGCGCGGGGTCAGAAGCCAGGCCAACAGCTCAGCCACGCGCAGAGGGGGCCGCGGGTTCGCCCCTTTGACGCCCGACGTCGCAGAAAGTAGAGCAGTCTGGACACGGTCGGGTATAGCCAGGACCCCGGGTAAGGGGACCCGGTTAGTGGTAGGGCCCTGGGGCCCTTCAATTGGCCAGACCGCTAAACCAGGTTTGCCGTAACTGGTGTTTTTCGGGTGACGGCAGTTCCGGTTAGTGGAAATGGGACGGGGGGGCGCCCCCGGTACAAATCGCTAAACCAGGTTCCACTAAACCCAGTTCTGCCAACGCCCGACACGGGGCCCTCGGCCTCGACCTCGGGCTTCTGCGGCACCTCCCGAGCGGACTCGAGCCGTGAGGGCCCCGGGGCCTTGGTGTCCTGGTGTCTTGGCCCGAGTATCTGAGCCGCGCGCAGAGGGGGTGTGGGGGGAGGGGGGAGGGCTCCTTAGCACCCCCGCTTCTCAGAAGGCGCGGGCCTTGTCTGCAGGTGTGAGGCCGGCGCCTGCTGAGGAGCAGCCTCCTCCTGAGAAGCCCTCCCCCCCTCCCTCCACCCCCTTGCGCGCGCCGCCAAGCATCCGCGTCCCGTCACGGCAGGAAGCTCCCGCAGTTGAGGCCGCGGAGGGAGTCTTGGGGGATGCTCGGAGGCGACGATGTAGGGGCGGACGGCCCAGGGGGGGGGGCGCCACAGGCGTGGTTACCCAGGGGCGCCGAGGGTCCGTGCCTTCGACGAGGCTCCCTGGCGAATACGTGCAGTGTCCACTCGTGGGATACTCCCCCCCGTCGTCGCCGCCGAGATGTGAGGCCTCCTCGCCCTGGCGACTGCCTCCTTGCCTGGGGCGCCCCGCAGCACGAGGGCGCTTGCGCCCTGGGGGGCAGAAGACGCAGGGTGGATCCGGCCACCGCCAGGAGGGCCACGCGGAGCACACAGCTGTGCGCCGCAGGGTCCTCCCTCCCCTCGCCCTCCTCCTCCTCCTCCTCCTCCTCCTCCTCCTCCTCCTCCTCCTCCTCCTCCTCCACCTCCTCTTCTCCTCCTCCTCCTCGTCCTCCTCCTCCTCCTCCTCCTCCTCCTCCTCTTCTCTGCCTCTGTATCTGCTCCTTCGGCATCTTCCTCCTCCTCCTCCTCCTCCTTGTCCTTGCTCCTCCCTCCAATCGTCCTCGTCCACTTCGGTCTCCTCCTGCTGCTCATTCTCTGCCTCCTCCTCTTCTCTTCATGTGCTCCCCCCGCCTTCTGCTGCGCTGAGCCCTTCTCCCCATCATCCCTCTGCTGCTCTTCATCCTTCCTGCTTCCGTCTTCCTCACACTTCCTGCAATTCCACCTTCAACCGTCCGCCTCGTTGCCTGGCGAAGGCGTTGATAAGCAAGCGGGACAAGATCTTGGCGCAGCTCCTGGATCTGCAGAAAGAGACCAGCGAAGAGACGCTCTACCCCGACGCTAACAGCACTCTTCGAATCAGTGCTGGCCACGTGGAAGGATATAAGGCAGCCGATGCCGTTGAGCACCACCCGATCACGACGCTGGCTGGTCTGGTGGACAAGCACATGGAGGCCAAGGTGTCTGGCGACGGCAATGGCGAGTTTGACTGCCCTGAACGCTTGGTGGAGGTGTGTGGCGGCAGCCCAGAAGTATCGCGGACGCCTGTTAACTGTTGCTACAGCACTGACACTGTGGGTGGCAACAGCGGGTCTCCCGTTCTGAACGCGCAGGGGGAATTCGTTGCCATCAATTTTGATCGGCAGCGTTTGGGTCTCATGAATGAGTTCAAGTGGTCACATAGCTACTCCCGTTCGATCGGCGTGGACGTGCGCTACATACTTTGGCTCGTCGGTACGTATGACTCCGCACCACATCTGGTGAAGGAGATGACCGGGTGACAGCCTCCCTTTACGATTGAGTGACGGCCGCTTGAGGAGGTGAGTTCATGTAGAGGTCGTTGCGTCCTCGCCTGATGATCAGGCGGTGGTCGATGTGATTTCAGCCGCGGCTTGCAGGCAGTGCGCCGTCGAGCCGCATCCACAAGTCTCCCCATGTAAGCCCCACCAGCATAACAAGCAGAAATTTCAACCCAGACATGCGACGTCCTGACTTCTCCAGGAAAGCATCCCCGGAAGTCCAGACCCTTGCCCTGGGGTCGGTTTTTCATCCTGCATCGTTTTTTGACGGTCCGGGGGCCCAGCGAGGGCCCCCCGAGGCCGAACATGGCCAAAAGCTTCCCGTCCTGGTGTTTTTACGACGCGATCATGTCTGGGAAGAGGTCCGCGTGGAGTTCTGGATGGGCGCTGCACGGCCTTCCCCACCTCCATGTCCCCGACGCGCCTGGTTGCAGCGCGCCGCGGGCGGCGCTGGAGACCCCCCAGGGGTGGCGGGGAGGGGGGCTCAGCGCCGGTCCACCAGATCTAAGGCGGGCCTGTCCCTCTACAGGAGGAATATTTAAAAATATGTCAGAAAATCGTCTGGGGACGACTTTTTGACTGTTCTTGGACATTTGGGGGGCATTTTTGTACGCCTGGCCCGATGATGGCACGAGGGCCGTGTGCTCGTGCCGTCGGCCGGCTCATCGACCCTCCCTCGGCCAGTGGCCTCGCCCCGGGGATGTCTCCGCGCTGGGTTCGCGAGGCACGCCGGGAGCCCCCCGCACACCGTGCGAATGCACCGCTATGCAGATAGCGCCCTCGTGGTCCCTGTGCTGCCCGCGGCTCTCTCTCTCTCGAGCTTCCTCCCACGCAGACACGTCGATCAGTCGAGCATCAAGTCGGGCGTGTCCCCCTACGGGGGGATTTTCGACGAAAAATAGAAAAAATACCTAACAAATACCCCGAAATGGTCAAACAGGATTCAAAACATAGTCCCCAGACTATTTTTTGACTATTCTTGAATCTTCCCCCTGTAGAGGGACAGGCCCGACTTGAGTCGAGCACCGCCGTCGCCGCCCTTGGCCAGCCTCCCCCCAACGCCGCCACGAGCTCTCGCCGAGCCCGGGCCTCCCCCTCTGCTATTCCCCCTTGGCACCCTCCCTTTGCGATCCCCCTTGGCACCCTCCCTTGCTATCCCCCTTGGCACCCTCCCTCTGCCATCCCCCTTGGCATCCTGCCTTTGCCATCCCCCTTGGCACCCTCCCAGGCCCTTCCTCTGCCAGCCCCCCCCTCCTCCTCCGCGGCCCTGCGGCGGAGGCCCGGGCGGCACCGGGCGGCCGGGGCCTCGCGGGGGCGTGTTTCTCGGGAGCCTTGCAAGACGGGGGTCAGTGCAAACGGAGGAGGAGGAGGAGGAGGAGGAGGAAGAAGAGGAGGAGGAGGAGGAGGAGAAGGAGGAGGAGGAGGAGGGGGGGTCAGCCAGAGCACCCGATCTTGCAGGATCCTGCGGGGCCAGGGTCGCATTTGCCCGGGCTTGGGCGCAGGATCCTGCAGGATCCTGCAGGATCCCTCGCATGGACCAGGGCTTGGGTGCAGGATCTTGCAGGATCCTGCAAGCCACTGACCCGGGTCTGGATTGACCCGGGTCAGAAGATCCCCGATGTTCGCCAAGCCTCGGCCGAGGGACTGGCTGGTCGGGCTGCCCAGGCGTGAGTCGGGCCACGCCCCTCGCCAGGAGGGGTGTGCAAAAGATGCTTCAAAAATAGCTGGGGCGATGTGTTGGCTATGTTTTGGGTCTGTGTCGGGCATGTGTTGGCTATTTTATGTATTTGTCGTCCAGAATCCGCCTGCACACGCCCCTCTAATGTCAAAACACTGCTTTAAACATATTATCCCAGTGCGACCCTACCTAGGAGTTGGAGCATCTGGGAAAGCCACATCTACATCTACACCGACAGCTACATCAACATCTACACCTGCATCTACATCTACATCAACATCAACAGCGAGGCTCACATCTACATCTACACCTACATCTACACCTACATGCTATGCTGCGCTATGCTATGCTACACCATGCTATGCTGATATAGAATATGCTATGCTATGCTATGTAGCGCTCTGCTATACTGTGCTATGCTCTGCTATGTTGTGCTATGATATGCTATGCTATGCTGCGCTGTGCTATGCTGAGCTAAGCTATGCTATGATGTGCTATGATATCCTGCGCTATGCTAGGCTATGCTATGCTATGCTATGCTGCGCTATGTTATGCTATGCTATGCGGTGCTATGCTATGCTAATGCTGCGCCAAGCTAAGCAGAGCTAAGCTAAGCTAGGTTAAGCTAAGCTAAGCTAAGCTAGGCTAAGCTAAGATGAGATAGGCAACGCGAAGCTAAGGGAACGTCTCTGGGGGAACCGTGGGGCGGATGCCGGGGGAACCGCCCGGGGCGGGCCCCATTGCCCGGCTCTTTAAGCTTACCGAGTAAGAACCCTTCTAGGCAGAGCCTAGGTAGGGAATAAACCTGAGGTAAGATGAAACTAAGCTAAGGTAAGATGAAATAAGCTAAGCTAAGATGAGATAAGCAACGCGAAGCTAAGGGAACGTCACTGGGGGAACCGCGGGGCGGATGCCGGGGGAACCGCCCGGGGCGAGCCCCACTGCCCGGCCCTTTAAGTTTAGCTATGCTATGCTAAGCTGCGCTATGCGATGCTATGCTATGCTATGCTATGCTGCGCTATGCTATGCTATGCTTGGCTATGCTATGCTATGCTATGTTATGCAAATGCAGCGCTGCGCTATGCTAAGTTAAACTAAGCTAAGCTAAGCTAAGCGAACCCTCTAAGCAGAGCCTAGGTAGGGAATTACACCCATGCTATGATATGCGATGCTGCGCTATGCTATGCTACGCTATGCTATGCTATGATGTGCTCTGCTATGCTGAAGCTCAGCGAAGCTAAGATGGAGGTAGGCTAAGCTAAGATGAACTGAGGTAAGATGAAACTAAGTTAAGGTAAGATGAAATAAGCTAAGCTAAGATGGGATAGGCAACGCGAAGCTAAGGGAACGTCACTGGGGGAACCGCGGGGCGGATGCTGGGGGAACCGCCCGGGGCGGGCCCCATTGCCCGGCTCCTTAAGCTTACCGAGTAAGAACCCTTCTAGGCAGAGCCTAGGTAGGGAATTATGGGGAGACAGTTAAAACATTGTTTTCCCCAGCGCTGTAGTGCGCCTATAGAGAACAAAAGGGAGGCAACGGGAACATCCCCCTGTGGACATACGACACTGAATGCACAAATGCCAATCGCCAACGCGCACGCGCGCGCGGCGGCGGCATATCGCTGATATATTGAATACCACGGGAGCGATGTTGAATTCCAAAACCCAATGGCGAAAACCCCATGTAAAAGTTCATTCTCTGATCGGAAGACGGGAATATCCCCATCGGCATTATCCCTGGTACCGAGGCGTATACAAGTGGCATCGATCGGCATCCGTGGATTTTTTCCAGGGGGGACAGATGAACAAATAGTTATTCGGATGCGAAGTAATGGCAGTCGGGATCCGGGGGGGGTCATCATTTGTTTAATCGGTTTTGGACATTACAGGAGGGATCTGCAAGAGCACTTTCAAAATAGTCGGGGGACGATGTATTGACGATTTTGGTGGGTTTGTTTTGGGCATGTTTTGACTATTCTTTCATTTTGCGTCCAAATTCCGCCTGTAGGGGGACATGCCCGACCTGAGCCCAGGCCACAAGAGTTGCCCTCAGCCCTCGGGGCCGCCAGCTCGCCCCTCGACGTCCGACGCCGCAGAAAATATAGCAGTTTGGACCCAGACCCCCTCGGGCAATGAAAGAATCATTACGGAAGGTTTTTCGCAACTTTGGGCGTCCAGGGGCTCTTACGGGGCCTCGGGACCGTCCAAAAAACTACTCAGGACGAGAAACCGGTCCTGGGGAATGGGTCGAGACCTCTGAGGGTCGACGTCATGAAAAAATCATGACGTGGGGGTCTGGGGAGGAGGAGGAGGAGGAGGAGGAGGAGGAGGAGGAGGAGGAGAAGACGGAGGAAAAGACTCTGATCAGCGTGCCGTGTCCAAGCTGCGTGGGCTGGACGGGGCCCCGGGAGGCGTCTCGAGGCGGAGGAAGAGGCTCCGCTCACCGTGCGGTGTCCGAGCTGCGTGGGCCGGACGGGGCCCCCAGGGGGGGCATCTCGCCCTGGGCCAGGTCGTCCTCCTCCTCCTCCTCCTCCTCCTCCTCCTCCTCCTCCTCCTCCTCCTCCTCCTCCTCCTCCCAAAGCCTCCCCTGCGAGCCCGCCTGCCGGGCCCCCGCTCCCGCCGCCGCCCTCGACGGCGACGCCCACGTGGAGGGCGGCGGCGGCGGCGACGGCGACGTCGGCGGAGACGACGTCGGCGGCGACGACGTCGGCGGCGGCGACGGCTGAGGGGACGGCGACGGCGGCGGAGACGACGTCGGCAGCGACGACGATGTCGGCGGCGACTTCGGCGGCGGCGGCGGCGTCGGCGACGGCGACGGCGGCGGAGACGACGCCGGCAGCGACGACGATGTCGGCGGCGACTTCGGCGGCGGCGGCGGCGGCGGCGGCGGCGGCGGCGGCTGCCCAGGCCGCCCGGCAGCGCGCGCCGCCCTCGCCGAGGCAGGCGCTGGGCGGCCCGCTGCCGCGGGACGCCGCCTGGGCCGCCGCGGGGCCTCCGGAGGAGCCCCGCCCCGCTGTGCCGGCCCAGGCGCCGCCGCGGGGGCCCGTCGGAGAGGCCCCACAGAGGCCTCCGTGGGCATGCGCAAGCCTTGGGGCCTCCGTCGAGGCCGTCGGGCCTTCTCCGAGAGGCCTCCGAGGAGCCTTCGGATGGGCCTCCAGGTAACAGGCCCTCTAGGAGGCCTCCGGAGGCTTCTCGGAGGCCCTCGCGGGGGGGCCGTCGGAGAGGCCTGCAGCCCTGCTGCGAGGTGTCCAGAGAGGCCTGCGACGAAGTCGGAGGGCCACGGAGGGCGAACGACGACGACGACGACGACGACGACGACGACGACGACGACGACGACGGCGACGGCGACGGCGACGGCGACAGCGACGGCGACGACGACGACGACGACGACGACGACAACGACGACGACGACGACAAGGACGACGACGACGACGACGACGACGACGACGACGAGACGACGACGACGACGACGACGACGACGACGACGACGACGGCGCGGCGGCCGGCGGCGGCGGCGGCGGCGGCGGCGGCGGCGGCGACGGCGACGGCGGCGGCGGCGACCGCGGCGGCGGCGACGTCGGCGGCGGCGGCGATGACGATGGCGACGGCGGCAGTGCCTCTGAAGGAACACGGCCAGGCGAGGCTACCGCGGGCCAGGCCTGACAGAACACGGTGGGCGGGTGGTCCTGGCGTTCCGGGCTCTCGGACCCTCTCGGGGGCACCGCTTGCTCCTCCGCGCGTACGAGCCTTGGGGTCCAGGAGTGCAGGATGCAGCGGGCTCATGGCGCCTCGACGCGGCGTCGACACTGGCGCGGGTGCTCGAGGCGGAACACCCCTCTGGGGGCCCACCGTGGGCCCCAGCGCCCACGAGAACGAACGGGCCTAGGGCGCGGCACCCCTGCCGAAGGCTGCGGCGCCAGGAGTGCTGGCTCCGCGTGCCGTCCTGCCGGCTTGGGGCCCACCACGCTGCAGGCGCGACGCTGCATCCACGGCACGGTCCCCGAGCGCGCCACCGACCCGAGCGGTTCCCATAGGGGGCCAGATGTGAACCCTACCCCTGCCCCCCACGATTTCTGAGGGGGCGGGTGGGGTTCACCTCGTTCGGGAGCTCCCGAGCACAGTGAACCCCACCCTCCCTCTCAGAGATCGTGGGG